TGCATATAAATACAAGCATATATTCTTATATAACGAAATACATACATTACTCATATATGTTTATGTACATTATCGTATTTCGCATATATACATATATATAAATAAATTTTCAACATTTGTAAAATGTTATCTACTCACTTCCTATTTGAAATTTTAGACATGAGGGATTGCTCTTTGTTGACTTCTAGCTGTTAAATTTAGCTTGAAGGCGTTAATTGTCTCAGGCCAACTATGGAGACGAAAGAATTTCCAGCTTTACTTCTCCATTTAACACCTAAACTAAATAGAATTTCTCAATTAAGCGAGTTTCAGCTGCGAGCTCTCTAGAGCTGGGCTCTTCCTAGAGAAATATAGAAATGTAGGTTTTGTATATATGTATGTGTATATCTTTAAGTAGTGTATACAAGTGAGCAGGTGATATATATCATGTGTGCTTATTATTTATTTGTAAATTATGCGATATCTGTGGCTACACTGCGCACCTGTTGTCCACAAAGCTTCGTCGGCCCGGTTATTGATTAATATTTCTTGGGAATAGAAATTCGGTAGCGCTGGCCCTACACGAGCTTCTGTCTGAGAATGTGACTTCATTCTAGACTAAACAGTAAAATTCCATGGCGCATTTCAGCAGCGCGCGAATGGCGACAATTAAAGCGGAAGTTCAATTATGGACAACATTTTGTTGCTAATTGTCTGCTGTACTAAATAGTTGTATGTTCTCTTTATGGACGCAGAGACAAGCCAAAACGGGGAGGGACTGTGTCTAAACTAAGGGGTATGCACTCTCAACTAGCAACTCCATATTAGAGGGTATATTCACAGCTGTCCTCACATCTGCAACAGCATTCAATGAACTGGCTTAAATGCATCGACTAACTACTCTTCTGCCCTCCAGCTGCTGCGCGGTGCCAACGACCATGAGTTGCGTCAGTATGATCTGCTCAAGGAGACGTCCAAGTACCACTACCTTAACCAGGGCAGCATGGATATACTCACCGAGAAGTCCGACTACAAGGGCACGTGCAATGCATTCAAGACGCTCGGCTTCCAGGCGGATGAGGTGCAGACCATTTGGCGCACGATTGCATCCGTTTTGCATTTGGGCAATGTGGAGTTCCAGAGTGAGTTAGCAATGAGACGCCCTCTAATAACGATGAAGCATACTTATGCCCGTCTGCCTTGTTGTCCCCGTAGCCATCGAGGACGAGCTGGTGATCAGCAACAAGGCGCATTTGCAGTCAGCTGCGAAGATGCTGCAGGTGACCGAGGCGGAGCTGTCGACGGCACTGACCAAGCGCACGATTGCCGCCGGAGGCAATGTGATGAAGAAGGATCACGATGCCACGCAGGCGGAGTACGGCAAGGACGCGCTGGCCAAGGCCATCTACGATCGCCTCTTCACGTGGATCATCTCGCGCATAAACCGGGCTATACTCTTCCGGGGCAGCAAGACCCAGGCGAGATTCAACTCAGTGATCGGCGTGCTGGATATCTACGGCTTTGAGATCTTCGATTCGAATAGCTTTGAGCAGTTCTGCATCAACTACTGCAACGAGAAGCTGCAGCAGCTGTTCATAGGTGAGCGGATGCGTCGAATCCAACTGGAGAATTGGAGCCTAACAGGCTTTCTTTCATTGCAGAGCTGGTGCTGAAGCAGGAGCAGGAGGAGTACCAGCGCGAGGGCATCGAGTGGACCAACATTGAGTACTTCAACAATAAGGTATAAGCGATTAGTTGATCCTTTATGTGGATGATATCTAACTGCCCTGTCCACCTCTCCTCTGGCCACTCTATATATTTTGGTAGATCATTTGCGATTTGGTTGAGCAGCCGCATAAGGGCATCATTGCCATCATGGACGAGGCCTGCTTGAGCGTCGGCAATGTCACCGATGACACCCTCCTGGGCGCCATGGACAAGAATCTGAGCAAGCATCCGCATTACACGAGTCGCCAGCTGAAGCCGATGGACAAGGAGTTGAAGCACCGCGAGGACTTCCGCATCACCCACTATGCGGGCGACGTGATCTACAACATAATTGGCTTCATCGAGAAGAACAAGGACACGCTGTACCAGGACTTCAAGCGCCTGCTGCACAACTCCAAGGACGCCAACCTCAGCGAAATGTGGCCCGAAGGAGCGCAGGATATAAAGAAGACCACGAAGCGTCCTCTGACTGCCGGCACACTCTTCCAGCGCTCGATGGCGGATCTCGTGGCCACGCTGCTGAAGAAGGAGCCCTTCTACGTGCGCTGCATCAAGCCAAACGATATCAAGAGCTCCACGCTGTTTGACGAGGAGCGCGTGCAGCACCAGGTGCGCTACTTGGGCCTGCTGGAGAATGTGCGAGTGCGCCGCGCCGGCTTCGTCCATCGCCAGCGCTACGACAAGTTCCTGCTGCGCTACAAAATGATCTCGCAGTACACGTGGCCCAATTTCCATGCGGGCAGCGAGCGCGACGGAGTGCGCGTGCTGATCGAGGAGAAGGGCTTCGCACAGGACGTGAAGTATGGGCACACAAAGATCTTTATTCGCTCGCCACGCACTCTCTTCGCCCTGGAGCAGCAGCGCAACGAGATGATTCCCCACATTGTGACCTTGCTGCAGAAGCAGGTGCGTGGCTGGATAGCCCGCAAGAACTACAAGAAGATGAAGGCGGCACGCACCATAATGCACGCCTACAAGACCTACAAGCTGCGCAGCTACGTCCAGGAGCTGGCCAATCGCTTCCGCAATGCGAAGCATCAGCGCGACTATGGGCGCAGCATTCAGTGGCCCCAGCCGCCCCTCGCTGGACGCAAGGCAGAGGCCAAGCTGCGCAGGATGTTTGACCAATGGCGTGCCTACATGATACTCCGCAGATACCCGCGCAGCGAGTGGCCGCAGCTGCGACTGCAAATCATTGCGGCCACGGCCATCGCGGGTCGACGTCCCTACTGGGGACAGCAGCGCAAGTGGCTGGGCGACTATCTGGCCAACTCGCAGGACAATAGCGGCTACGACGCCTACACGGCCAACGTGCGGAACATGAAGAACAGCGGAGGAGATAACTTCCGGCAGGTGCTCTTCTCCAGCTTCGCCAAGAAGTTCAACAGGCGCAACAAGCAGGCGGATCGGGCGTTCATTGTGACAGATACGAACATCTACAAATTGGATGGCATCAAGAAGAAGTTCAGGGACATGCAGCGTTCCATGGCCATCAGAGAGGTAAGGGAAACTGGCATCAAGTGGAGCCCCTCCATACCAAAAGACTCGATCTTCTTCTTTTAGCTGACCTCCATTAGCATAACGCCTGGTCGGGATCAGCTAATCGTCTTCCACTCACCGAAGAACAACGATTTGGTCTTCGCCCTGCAAAGCGAGATGTGCACGCCCCTCAAGGAGGATCGCGTAGGCGAACTAGTGGGCGTTGTGTGCAAGAAGTACCATGAGTAGGTTACCCCCAAGTGCCCACTGCAATCGGATCTTATAAATCCATTTCAATTACAGCATCACTGGCACGGAGCTGCGCGTGAATGTGGGCAGCAACATTGCCTGCCGGCTGGGCGAGAAGGCGCGCACAATTGTTGTCGAGGCGGCGTCCAATGTGGAGGTGCCCAGTTTCCGACATTCCGCTGGCAATATCATCTTCGAGGTGCCCGCCACGTATTGCTACTAGTGAGCGGCTCCGGCGAGCTCCGTCGAGCGTCCGATGTAAATTTATTCGTAAGCGTTAGCTTAAGAGTCTGTTACCTTTGAAACACCCTACCAGCCTGTGCATGCTGTGCCTTCTGCTAAGCATTACGTAGCTCTGGAGCTGTATTCTCTATGTGTTGCATGTTTTTGTGCTAAGTGAGAATCACCGCGAAGGGCGCTGGTACTAGGTCAGGTCCATAAATATAGAAAGTGCAAACTTGTTGAGCTGGTTGAGCCGGCTTCAAATGAAAAGTATTAAATGTACTTTGTGCATTTGTTAACTTTAGCTTTTAACCAATTCTCAAACGATATAAATGATTGTAATTCGTGAGAAAAGAAAAAAATACAAAAAAAAAAAAAAACTTTAATTAATCAAAGAGCACACAAAACGAGAAAACACAAAGAACATTTTTTTGTACTTAACAACACAAATCTAATTTTGTATGTGTGCCATTTACACTAATTTCTTAAACCTAAACTTAACTAACTTGTAACCTATTTATACATACATATATAGCTGAGATATATGTACATATATATGCGTATGTATTATAAATAAAAGTTATACAAAGTAAATAAATCTTTACAGTTTTAATCTTAAGTTATACGAAATAAATATTAATTAAGAATTTTGTCAATCGAAAAGAATATACATATAATATAGATTGTATATTTCATATTTAAGTTCCTGTAAGTTTCTTTTTTGTCTAATCCCTCAATCCTTGCCTTTTCAATACATACTCATGAACAGCTTCGAGTAGGCTACGATTCGAGCAACTCCAGACACATTTACGAGTAAATCAAAGTTCCTCAGTAAGGCCTTTGGCACGGCAGTGAACACATCTAAAATATTTTTTTTTAATTCTGGAATTTTGAGTTTTAGATTTTTGTACGTTTTTCATTTTTGTTTCCGATCCCTTGTGACTTGTTTGGCGAGCGAATAAAATGGCAGAGGAATCGAAGCCCCTTGACGACTGGCATGAGATGGTCGAGGCTCTGCCGCAAGTCTCTAGAAATCGATTTGCACCACGTACTGCCCTGATGCGCTTTCAGCAACGCAGGCCGGGGCATGGACACGGCCATGGACATGGTAATGGAGTCGGACGCGGGCACAAACACTACCAAAAGAAAATTGCTTCGCTGGCGGCCACCATGCGTCACCGTAAGCGTCCCCAGTGCTGCAAGCGCTGCTATAATATGCTGATGAAGAAAAAGCAGACCAAGCGCCTGGTGAAGCAGATGCGTGCCGCACGCACTCGTCGCTTGCAGTCGTCCACCCTTGACCTATAATCAATGCCATAAAGGTAAAAGGACCTAGGCCTAGTGTCCACCGCGATGTGTATATTAGTCTTCAATTTAAATTTTATGCAACCAAGTCTGATCATTATTAAAACTGAGTTTCTCTTGGCAATCTTAATATAGAGTATATCTATATATATATGTGTGTGTGCCTGTGTGTGTGTGTATGATCCGACCAAAATAAAGTGCGCCCAAGTGCTCGACGTCGACGTCGACGTCCGCGCGTCGGTGCCGCCAATTGATAAAAGATAAAAATAAAGAGCGTGCATCGGCAAGAATTTTCCGTTTCTCGATCTCGATCGCATTTGCTTGTAAATTCTTGGCGAACACGCAGTCACAACGTTCCCAACTTGATTACATAAGGCAGAAAATGCAGAAAACGTTAAAAAAGGAGCTCAGCTTCTCGCTGGACACCCTGGAGCGCTATCGCGCCAAATATGGACGCAGTGCCTCATCGGACACTAATGGCAATGGTACACAGCAGGAATCGCACCCGGCACAGATCTCTGACATGGGCACGGCTACAGCTACGCGCACGGTGTCGCCTCCTCCCTCGCTTTTCAAGCCCCAGTCGCCACCTAAGCTGACCAAGCTGCAGGAGCTGCAACAGAAGAAGGAGGCATACATGCGACAGCGCGAGCATGAGCGGGAAATGGAGCAGCTGTTGAAGGCAGCCGATAAAGCCAGCAGGCAGGACGCAGCCAGAGCCAACAATGAAAACAGCAGCAGCACCACCGGCAGCAGCAGCACCACCACCACCACTACCACCAGCACCAGCACCACCTCCTCCCAATCCACCTTAGCCAAGACCAGCGCCTCCTCCACGACAACAGTCTCGGCCCAGCAGTCGAGCAAAACAGCTGCTGGCTACAGCAACTGGAACAACAACCACACAACACTCAGCTCGCAGCCTTGGTGCGCGATCAGTGATCTTATGTACTTCTGTGACAAATACGAGTTCAAGACTCTGAGTACACGGGACCTGAAGACCCATCAGGAGATTGTGGCGGAGGTGCGTGCCCTGCTCTCCGGCAAGGCGCCGTTCGATCAGCGGACTCGCTTCCCCGGCAACATTCACGATCCGGAGAACCTGTGGGTTTGCATTGGACGCTGCGCGAGTGTCGAATACCATTTGCAGCGCATCATTAGCGTCTTCCGAAAGCCCCTCAATCAGCTGACGCCGGACAAGCAGCGAACGGTGCGTCAGAACTTTCACCTGGCCGTCAGTGAGCTGCGTCTGGACATATCGGCGCGCATTAGCGAGGTGCGACTGTACGATAGGTTGGTATTCGAGCGGGAGTTTCGACTGGAATGGCAAGACGAGGTCTAGTCTAGAGGATCTACAGGAGGTTGGGTGTGTCTTCAGTTGATTAACAATTTATTCCAAATTTTCAATTTCAAATTTTGCTCATTTTTGGGTGCAAAAAATTTTACAAAAATACACGCAAGCATATAAGGAATACATATTTATACATACATATATATAGTACGAGCCTTAATACAGGATCTGGCATTAACAAGTGCTTGCATATTGCTTGGTGTAACTAAATCTATAAATCATTTAGATATACATCTTTATATACATAATTGGTATAATATCGAAAAATAAAGCACTGTGGAAACTTTTACATTATGAAACTTTGCTAAACAGATACGATATAAATGTATCTACATCAATAATTGGTATAAAATCGAAATGAAAGCACTTGGTGGGCTATAAGAAACTATTATGAAACATTACTCTGTGCTCTTTCTTATGTCTAGCGGAAGATTTAAAGATTATCGAATATATAACTTTGAGTTAGGTTTACGTTTGCGCCTCGGCAACTTGTGGGCTGACTTCAGTGGGTGGTTAACAACAACTTTGTGGTAACAATTCTTTAACAGTCTAGCAAAACTTTAACTTCATTTTGCTTGTCTTTGGAACATTTCTGATGGTTAGGGAAATGCGTGGAGCTCGGCGCACTAGATGATCCCCTATTTTATAGGTGTTTTCGCAGAGATTATAATTGCAAATGCGATCGCATAGCGTGTCTTCGTTGATCTCACTAATGGCATGCATATAATCGCTATAGAGCGTATCCTTTAAGATCAGCAAACTGCGCGGCTCAAGCAACAGTTTGAAGACTACCACGCCGTCGTTGGCCTCGCCCGTAGTCTCGCGCTTGGTGAACTCCAGCACGGTGTGTGCCCCACATGAAATGGTCGATATGATTGGGTAGAAGAGCGGTCCGTCGGTGTGTGGAAGAATGCCCTGTCCAGGCAGGTACTCATTGACCAGTACATGATTGGCCTTCTGGGATTCGAAGATTCCCAAATTGTTGACTTTGTCCACATAGCTCTGCAGCCATTCAGGTATCTCCTCGGCTATCATGCCGTTTGGATGAGGAATGCCGCCATAGTTGACGAGCCGTCGATTGAGCAGCTGCGTCCACCGAGGCTTCGGTGTTCTCTCTATGTGGCTTAGTATGGAACTCTCCTGATCGGAGGTAATGAAATTTGGAATGTACATGACGGTTGGCGGGCACTGCAATTAATATTTTACTTAGTGTTATCGGATAGGGATGCTTTGAGGTAAGTCTTTCGTACCTTGCGCACCTCGAAGTCTGTAAAATCCATATCTACGTACTAAATTACTAAACTAAGTTGCAATTATTGCAAATCAATATTTGTGTACCATCGGACCGGCCATTTGGCCTTGTAGGACCGATTTTGTTGGCAGCTGACTCAAATTGTGGCGGTTAGCGATAGGTATCTGATACAGCTTTGCCATCATAAAATAATTTGAATTTGACAAAAAGTTCAAGCAAATGTATATGCATAATGTGCTCAAATTTGTGCTACAAATTTGTGATAGAAATAATGTATTTAAATTTCAGATTTGTTCAATTTTCTTCTTGCACGCAATGCGCTCTAACGCACAAATGCGCAACTTAACGAATACTTGCAGCCCTGGTTTCAGTTTTTATCCACTACTCAGCACTGTCAGCTGTGGGCTGCTTGTCGACCATTTTGAGAAAATATTCCCGCGTTTTTATTGTTTGAAGCTTGCACAGCTCCGCGTTATTCCAATACAGAATTAGAGCCATTTATAGATGTCCTCACCAGACGCACAAGTTGAGATACCAGCAGCTAAGAAAATGAAGATCGATAATAAGTGCGTTTTGCGTTTTGCCAAGCTAACAGAGCATGCTTTGGCGCCCCAGCGTGGATCCGAACGCGCTGCCGGCTATGATTTACGCAGCGCTTATGATGTTGTGGTGCCAGCGCGTGGCAAAGCTGTGGTGAAAACGGATCTGCAGGTGCAGGTGCCGGAAGGCTCCTATGGTCGCATAGCACCGCGCTCCGGGCTGGCCGTAAAGAATTTTATCGATGTGGGCGCCGGCGTTGTGGACGAGGATTATCGCGGAAATTTAGGTGTTGTCCTCTTCAATCACTCGGACACTGACTTCGAGGTGAAGCATGGCGATCGCATTGCCCAGTTCATATGCGAACGCATCTTCTATCCGGAATTAGAGGAAGTGGACAAACTGGCAGATACTGAACGCGGAGAAGCAGGATTTGGTTCCACCGGCGTTAAGGAACTCCCTGCGGCTAAACTGAAGAATGGAAACAAAGTGCCACTGGCCGAAAACGAAGCGACGCCCATTGCCACATAGGGGCAACATGACAATGCAGCCCAAAATAGATTTACAATAATATCCATATACATTCAGACTAATATCTAACTTTTATTAATCATAGTTCACTACTATCCAATAAACATATTTTTAAATAAAACCTTATTTCCATGTAATAAAAGAATTATGTTTTGTGTTTTGTTTTATGTGTTCCTTGCATCCTTCATCGAATTTTAAGGTCGCTTTTTGGAGGCTCTGCATACATGCTATGTAGCTCAGGCGATAGATGTAAGGAATATTGCTATTGCTAGATTCTGCATTTAATTCAGCTGAGAGTCTATGGCAATTTAAACCTTTATTTATAAATGTTAGCAATGCCAACATATAAATATCTGAGAAGATGTCTATAGATATGAACAGAGCATAACAGAACATATTTACCTTCAGCTGTGCAGCCGCAGAGCACTTAAATGTCTGATCTGAAGTGGAAACTATATAGCATTGTAATTATACAGTTAGCTAAATCATGTGGTATCCAAGTGCGAATATGCCGGCTCGATTCGCCGTTGCGGTTGGGTCAAGCAGCAGGGGCGAGCAATGCCCTGTGCCAGTTCGGCCAGAGGCAGCGAGTTATGACCGACTGCAGACACAGTTGGCGTGCGTGCCGCGAGTGCATTCGAGGTGCATATGCGGATTTCTTGCAGCGATTAAATTCAATGACTCCAATTTGTAATTAGACGTTGAAGTGAGGCTCGAATTGCAGTTGAAGCTAAAGCCGTTGCTGTTGCCGTAGCCGCAGTCGGAGCTTGAGCCGCCGCTAGAGCTCTCCAGCTGCGTGCTTTTAATTGGTTGGGCAGTGCATCCTTGGTTGGCTTTTGGCGCAACGGTTACGCTTGACCCCCAGCTGGAGGTCAGAGTGAGGGAGACACAGCCACGCAGGGTGGGCTAGAGAAAGGGGGATATAGAAAATGCTGTTTTTTTTTTTTTGCTTTGTATTTTTTTGTTTGTTTATAATTTATTTGCCGTGTGAAAAATAGCTAAGTATTTGTTTTAATATACAATATGTATATACTCAAATATATATATGCATGTATATATTTAGATGTATAAATTTCATAAAAATAAATCAATTGTTTGTAAACATAAACTTTAAGTAGACCGACGCTTGGTCAGTTGCTTATGTGTGTATATATATTTATACGATATGCATAACTAATATAGTATAATTAAATAAACAATATATACAATGCATTTCTTGTTGTTGTTTTTTGTTTGTTGTCTTCAAGTCTTGGAGCTCTTAAATTAATGCTGAATTTTGAATTCCAATGTGCAATGGCCGCAAAAAATCAATAAAAAAGAATAATTGTGAACAACAAATATTTAAAATATTGTAAAATATATATGTATATAATAAATAGCCTTTCTTTGCTAAAAAAAAAACGTTTAAGGAAATTGGGAAATTTTTGATTTGAAATATCATTTAGTTTAAGTTCTCTGCTGAATGTTATTAAATAATTTTATAATAATTACTGACTAGCAGTTAATAAAGAAAATAAAAATATAATTATGTGTAAAAAATAAAAATCAAATAAATTACAAATATAAAAAATGTCGTGCAACATTAAGTACATTGAATATTGTTTAATAAAAAAACTCATTAAAATTGACTAAATTGCTTCATCGAATATGATTGAAAGTTATTGTTTATCATAACATTAAATATTACAATTTACTTTTAACTTTTCTCTTTCTCTCATGCAAATGGAAGACTTTTGCGATTCTTGCTGTTGTCTTAAAAAGTTTTCAACTTTAGCTATGCCTAATTCAAGTTGTAAATAATATTCTATATGTAATATTTATATTTAATATATAATTTTAATATTAATTATGTGTTTGTTTTTTTTCCGTTTTCATTTGAAAGCTCATTTGGTACAACATTTGCAGTTGAAATGCAATTTATTTTAGCATTTATATATATATTCTTCTTCTTTATATAAACTTTAGATTATTTTTAATTTAATTCTTTTTTTAATTTCGATTTGTGACAGAGGAAAACTAGCTGGCAGCATCATTGTTGCTATCGGTGGCATCAAAGCTGCAGCGCAGCATTGTTGCCGCAACATTGCTGCTGTTGCTAGGCCCATTGCAGCTATCGGGCATGTTGTTATTGCTGCTGTTGCTGTTGATGCTGCTGCTGCTGCTGTTGCTGCTGTTGCTGCTGCTGTTGCTGCTACTGTTGGACAAACTGCTGCAACTAGTTACAACATTTGTTGTTGTAGCTGTTGCAGTTGCTGTTGTTGTTGCTGCTCCTGTTGCTCCTGTTGCTGCTGCTGCCCCGCCCGTTTGCAATGCTAGCATCTGTTGCGCCTGCGCAACGCACGCAACACAAGGACAGGGCCCGCCCAATTTCTTCGCCAATATGGAGCGCAGCTTCAGCGCTGGACCCAGCTTCATGCCCAGCGAGCTCACCAAATGTTCTTCGGTTAGCAGCGGCAAGCCCGTGCCATCAATGCTCTGCTCACGAAAGTGCTGCAAGCGGAAAGACAGAGATGGAGAGAGAGAGAGAGCAAAGAATTAGTTGGAAGCTTATAAAATTTATGCATGCAACATGCAGGGCGTATGCCTGTGTGTGTGTGTGATTAATGCGCTGCTTTTAAAATTGTTAATGAAAAACGATTTTTAGCTGCTGCTGCTGCTGCTGCTGATGTTATGCTGCCCCCGGTGGAGATCGAGCTCAGTAGCATTTTCATATTTGCAGCGCACGACGCCAACAGCGATTGA